TATATATATATATATATATATTATTGCACCAAGACTAATGTGCTGTTGGGTTGTGGTGTGAGTGCTGAAAAGACCACCCACTGTCCAACTTTAATGATTTTACTGTTGCATTCATTCTGTCTGAATGGTCATAGACACCCTTGGGCTCAGCTCTGTTTCAGGGCTCTGTTTTTTGGTGATCTGGCCAGAAACAGGGCAGGGATTAACAGAATTCGCTGGAGAGATGACACACAAGAGAAGTTTTGGTCATTATAGGACTGTTGTCCATTTTGGTTTGATTTTAAGTTTTTTTCCAAGTTGATATGTCCTCATTGCTGCATCCACATGGCAGAAATAATCCAGGTTGACACCACTGCCATTAGCTGTAATGGCTCAATGCTATGGAATTCTGGGAATTGTAGTTAATGTGATGTCAAAGTGGATTATTTCTGCTGTGCAGATGCAGCCTCAGCCTCTCCGACACACTTAAGGTCACTCACTGCACCAAGGTGTCTATCCAACAGAGGCCCTTGAACATGATCAGGCTTTAATGTGACTTCTGGTGTCGACTGTCTAGAGTCGAGGTGGAGGTGGTGATTATAATGGATTCTGTCCCTCTTCCCAGATTTAGCAATCTCTCTTCCCCCCCCCCCCCACTAAATCCAGGCTATGTCAACTTCCGTCAGCAGTACCCAGAGCTGTTTGAAAACCTGACCCCTGAGGCTGTGCGCAGTACCATTGAGGCTGGCTACCCTGGCATTTTGAGCAATCGGGACAAGTTTGGACGGATTGTACTGCTGTTCAACATCGAAAACTGGGATTATGAGGAGATCACCTTTGATGAGGTCAGCATCTCTGGGCAAAGGGTTTCTCCAAATTGCACAGACATACCTTTTGTCCTTCTTTAAATGTGACAGCTTCCTCCAACAGCAAGCAGTGAGGAAATGTGGTGCTCCAGATGTTGTTCAGCTAAAACTAAACAGAGTTTATGGGAATTATAGTTCACAACAATCTGGAAGGCTGCATGTTCTGTTCCACTCCTCTGTGCTGACCAGCAGTGAAATGTCCCAAGCTAGTTCAGAAACTGAGCTTGAGATCTTCTTCATGTAAAACATGTGTGCTCAACCCCTAAACTAGGGTAGGCTGCTGTTGACTGTCACTTATGGGTGTTGTAGTACAAAAACTCTTGAAAAGAACCAGGTTACTTACCTTACATCCTCCTCCTGGAGATGCTTCAGTTTCTTACGAGAAAGACATTTTGTCTGACATCCTGTTCATGAAGTGTCTGTTGTTATGTCCCTTCAAGTGAACTTCAATTTTTTGGCAAGATTTATTCAGGGGGGTTTGCCATTGTTTTCCTCTCAGGCTGAGAGAGTGTGACTTGCTAAAGTCACCTGGTGGCATTCTATGGTTAAGTGGGGATTTGAACCCTGCTTTCCCAGAATCCTAGTCCAGCGCAAAAGCCACAACACCATGCTGGCTCTCAGTTCATGAATGATGATGCCATAAGTCTGATTCATACCATTGTGATTTTATAGCCATTTCACACTTAAGAAGTCTCTTCCAACCATATGCCAATCAAAAATCTCCCCCAAATCTACTTTTTAAGCATTGCAGCTCTCCCTTTCCCAATATTACTACAATTGGCCCTCCACATTTGCAGCTTTGACTTTTTCGGATTTCATTATTTGCGGTTTTGAGAAATATATTCTCTCTAGGAATTTCTAAGTTCTCCAGCGCAATTCTTCTGAAAGTTGACCATAGAGTTGTGCTGGAGAACCTAGGCATTCCTACAGAAAACACTTCTCTGGGCATTTGTAGGTCCTCCATCATGATTCTATGATCAATGTCTGGCAGATGTTGACCATAGAGTTGCACTGGAGGATCTGGAGAGTCTTAGAGAAGTGTCCTTCAGGTAAAAAGAATAGTGTTTGTCTTTTATTTGTGGTTTTTCCAATATTTCCCAGAAGAAAATTAGGACATGTGTGGCAGAATAACATCAGAGTGTGGTCAAGATGGTAAAAGTTGTTAATGAGGAAGAATATACAACAGTTTGCATAAGGTGCAGCAGTATGAGTTTTGCCCAAGTCTACAAGACAGAGCAAGATTCTGCTCTCTTTTTCCTTTCTCCCCTGCAAAATCAGTTGAATGAAACTACTTTTGCACTTTGAACACAGTTTGCAGCAATACAACTAAGTTAAAGATCAAGGAGGAAAGTGGAAGGCAGAGAAAGAAACTGGGACATTTTTAAAGCATCTGAAAAAAACCCCCAAGAGAATGATAGAGAATTAATTGTGAATGTCCTTGCAATACCAGGACAGTTGGAGGATATGCATTAGGTGGAACAGACTTCATGGTTGCTACTTTTTATGCCAAAACAAGAAGAGATGTGATCCAGAAGCTAGTCAATGCCTTCATCTCCTCTCTTCATCTATTTTAAATCCAGATTCTTCGTGCCTATTGTGTGATCTTAGAAAAGTTGCTGGAGAATGAGGAGACTCAAATTAATGGCTTTTGTATAATTGAAAATTTCAAAGGCTTTACCATGCAGCAGGCCTCTGGTATCAAACCTTCTGAACTGAAGAAGATGGTGGACATGCTGCAGGTGAGACCTGATCTGCTTATCACCCTTCCTACCAAATATGGGGTTAGTCAACTTTCTATTCATTGGAAGAAGCAGGATAGGATTCCCTAGAAGCAGCACTATGTCCCTTGCTTCCATGCAACACTTCTTTGGGAGAACATGATTCACATCAGGAAAAAGGCAGAGCTTGGAAAGTTAATTTTAAAAAGATCATTGGCCAAGATCCTATGTTGAGAAGATGGAGCATAGCTTTACATTTACAGGGTTATGCTGCAGTTGTTTAACATTGTCTTAGTGAATTGTGATGTATGCAACTGAGTGTGAAATCAAATGTGCGTATGTCTCTCTGTGTGCGATGCATAATGCGCATGAACAATTGTTTTGCATATGCAGCTGTGCTTCTGCAACCTTGAACTGAATGCAGATGTTGTGCAAGAATCAAAAATGCCCAACTACTTCTGCAGGAGAACTTACACATGCATAGAATACGAACAGCAACCTAGCAATGAT